TTTTTTTTCGAAATTTTCTAGAAGATATTAACAGTTGAAGATCGAATTTCAACTTTGTTATTAAGCATTATTTTGAAATTGTTCCATGTTTAATTGGTAGTTTAATGTTTTTTGTCATTAACATATAGTTACAGGTGGATAGCCCTTGTCAATAAAAACAATAGTTTGTCAAACTGTGACTTACTTTGAATTTCCTTTCACGAATTTGCGGATACGCGATTAGTTGAGGACAAATGATAGTGGGCGACAATCCATTTTCGGGTTTCAGGCACAGGAGAGCAAGTATTGGACATAATCGAATCAGGGCCTTCCAGGGGCACTCAGAGCACAATAACTGAGACTTTCCCAAGAACCAAATAAATACCGAAGAACTGCTACATTCCTACCACGTTTGTACGATACACACAGCACAAGGAGATACAAATGGAGCAGGAGTTAATTGACTGAATACGAGAAGCTGCTTGATAAGAGTGGATAATAAGGCTGTGTAATTTCCTTAGCACTAGCTTGTTTGGAGTTAACCATTCAAATGTTTGGTGTTGTATGGTTTATTTTTAAGCACCAATATTCGAGGTTATGAGAACAGGTTGACATTTCGTCAACAAATCTTGTTGAATTTACCGTTTATCCTTGTCTATCTTATTGTTATTCTGTATAATTCCATGGTTACCGGAGTTTTAAATAATTACGAAGCCACAGGTATTTGCGCAATGCTAATTAGGCAGATTACCTTGAAAAACATTGCTGCGGTATTTCTGATATAGTTTTTTCAAATTTCTCAGTTTTTAATAACAATTAATTTCTTTTACTATTTTTTCTGTACTCCTATAACAGCGCCGGACAACACCTCCAAAGGAATGACGCCAATTTTGAATCACCCTGTATATTGAATATTTTGAATACTCCATAAATCATCTTACACTGTACACTGTATAGCGGTGTATTATTATTTTTTCATTTTAGGTGAGGCTGTCGAAAACGATGATGAATTATCCCAACTGAGAATTTACCCAACTCAAAGAAGACTACAGTCCTTTGCTTAGAGATTACTGAGTTTTAGAAATTATTTTTATTTTTGTGTGTTTGTGTTGGCTCTTGTTTATCTATTTAATAAAATTTTTACTGTCTATGTTTATGCCATTTGAGTTTTATTCATCAACTTTTCGAGCCTGTGAATTGTAAATTTAAAACATTTTGAAACAAGTTAGCTTAAAATGTTTTGCTAATATAAAATTTTATGAAAACGTTATAGAATCATGAAACTACATAGTGATTCGTTGATGAGTACAAATATATACATAATAAATAAATACAGGTGGTACATTTTTGTCCTCGAAGCAAGACAATTCTATAGTTCTTTGCACTCTTCAAAGATACACCATGTATAATGTTACAAAATATTTATTTGCAACGTTTAAATAACGTCTAGCACAACGCTTAAGTAACATTTCAACGAACCGTTTCTGTAATGTTTCAGCGAAACGTTTCTGAAGGCGGACATTTGCAGTTACATAAACATTTCTGAAACATATAGTGCAGGTAACTCAAACGTTTCGAGATTTTAATATACCTTTCTGAAACGACAAATTGTTTAGCGGGTAACAGTCTAATAAACTGTATTTAATGTAAGTAACATTAAACACACACACACAAGCGTATATCAGTTCCCTTTCTTGAATGGCAACCGTAAACAGAATAATTTTGTATTATACCTGGGACGCCGAAGTTTCGGACCTTTGGTAGTGGTTTCATCAGAGCTAGATGCCATAATGTAATAAGAATTAACCGCACTACTAGAACATTTTTAACTTCCACTGACAGAACTTTCTTAAATATCACAGACAAATTCACAAATTACTTACAGTGCATTATAAGTATTTTGCCTAGGACATTACCTATTAGGTAGGTTCAATATTTTGACGCTAGAGGTCTCACTGATTTTTGGGCTTGCCAATATATTGCCATATTATATATTATAACATAATATTATAGGTGAAGGCGATTGTGTCGTTTGGGACCCTCCGAATTTTTGGTTTTATATTTTTTTACCTCAAACACTTCAAATTTAGCAGTTTCAGCGAAAAAATTTCTGAATGGTCCATAAATTAAGCCAAAAAACTTACAAAGTTTTGAAATTTGCTTTTCCAAAACCACCTATTTATGCACAAAAATGAGATTGTCCGGTGGTATTTGCTGCTAACTCATGTTTTAGGCATCAAAAGTTCAAAACTCTACATGCAAAATTGTCGCTAAGATGCAGAATAATTGTGTTTTTCGCAGTAAAAAGTTTGAGCATCTTTTCTAACGCGTCGATGGCGGCTTATTTGTTTCCTTCGTTAATGAAAACACAACGTGGTGTTGCCACGTATTTTCCTTTCGGTTTGTGTTAGCATGGTTGAAGTGCTTTTTTAAATTAAACTTAAAAACTATTTAAAAATTCAAAGTTAATAACCCGAAAAGACCTAAATAATCTAAACCGACCCAAATTGAATGAATCTGCTAGGTATTCAAGGAAACAATTTTCATGATTTTTTCCGCAAACTTTGTGAGTGTTTTTTGTCTTAATTTATGGACCATCCAGGAATTGTTTTGGCCGAAAGTGCTTAATTTGAAGTGGCCTTTAAGACAAATCCAGAAAAAACAAAAAATTCGGGATTCACAAACCGATGGCGTCCTTTGAACTGACTGGAACGTGTGGAACTTTCAGGTGCAAATTTTCAACCCTTCTAGGGATGCAAGCAAGGAATTCATTTGTAATGTTAAATACTATTGCCTAGTAAATGAACATAAATCAAATGCATATCTTCAAAAACACACTTCGGCATCAGAAATGTTATAATCTTTTATAATGTATTTTTTGTGTCAATCCAACAGCATAGAACATAAGATTTCCTAAAATCGATTGTTCTTGTTGTCTTTCACCTTTGGAATAAAATCTCAGAAAATGCTAAACAATACCTTTTTAAATAATCCTTTTTAAATAACCTCCCTACGTTTTCAAGATTAAAAATAAATTTCACCATTTAGGTGAAATTCAAAAAAAATAATTTACAGAAAACATTGAACGTTTGTAGAAATACATTACTATACAGGGCGTCACAGTATGCAAGGAAAAAAGGCTGTAATAGTTCCTATCTTAAAGACGGGCAAAAACTCGGCTGATCCTGCCTCTTATAGGCCCATTTCTTTCCTGAACCCTGCAGGCTCGTTCGGGGCTGCAAGTGGCAGCCGAACTTTTTAACAAAATGCTAAAATGTTTTATCAAAAATTACAATGTTCTGTTTAATTACACAGAAGTTTAATCCCGGACGAGCAGTTTGACTTTTGACCAAGACACAACAGACTCCTAGGATCGTAACGGATGTCTATGCAGCATTTAATAACCTTCAAAGTACGGAAATGCTGCTTCTTGATATGGAAAGAGCCTTCGACACAGTTTGGCACACAGGCCTACTGTACAAGTTGTTTGCCTTGCATTCACTGTCACTCTACCTAGTTTCCCTTATAGCGTCTTACCTAAAAAAACTGGATCATCTAGGTTGAACGTGGAGGATTCCACTTCCGTTAAAAGACGCATCACGTCAGGAGTACCACAAAGTACAGTCATTTCGGTGTTTCTGTATAAATTCTAAACATTAAACATTTCAAAACTTCACACTAGAAAAATAGCACAATACTATGATGATATGGCTATTTACACATTTTCTTTCTATGTCCGGGCTGCGAAATGTTGCATTGCACATCACCTGAGTTTATTGACGCCGTATTTCGATAAATGACTTGAAGTGCATCCCAGGAAGACTTAACTTATTATCTTTGCGCTCAAATTCAGTAACAATAAAATACTTTCGCCACTCATGGTCCAAAATACTCCAATCAAACCAGTATAAGAGGCGAAATACCTGGGATACCTATTACGACTGGGAACACGACGCCCGACTTCATTTCAATAAGTATGCTGACCTAAAGCTCCCCTATCAGGCACTCTGTCAATAATTCCACGAGACGGCGCCTTCAAAGGACCAAAAATGTATTCCTGAGGTGTCCTATCGGCTGACACACCAGAATAACCGAAATGCACGAAGCTACAGGGGCCTATATAGCCAACTATATAGATGCCATATCTGGCAAATTCTATCATAGCGGAGTGCTATGAAGAAGTGCAAGAAGGCTCGTTCCTCACGAAATCTCACATAAGTAAGATCAAACGCTCGCCGTTTTACTTTTACCCATTATCCTCCGTATAAGCGACGAAGCATGGAGAGGCCTTTTACTGATAAGACGCCACGGCTGACGTTAACAAAATTAAAGATCGAAGCAAAAGGGGTTTTTGGCTTCCCTTCAGGAAGACCTTTTTTCCTTATTGAATAATTCCACTTCAATATTATCCCCTGACGTGCGTATGGCTGGCTCGCCTTTAATAGTAAATATAAAATAAAATAAATTTTTATCTATCTGTCTGAAACTAGAAAATGAAACTTGCAACATGTCTAACGTATCAACAAATTTAATAAGTGTTCGTATCCTCGTTCTGAACCATGTTATGTTTGGGACAGTAGAACCAAATAAATTGACTAAATTAATTAATAGTAAGATAAATGTAATTTAGTATGATACGAATAGGAAATATTGAATCTTGCCATAATTAAAATACAACAGTAAAATTAATATTTGGAACATTTTACTATCGGCAACTTTATAGACTACGAATGAGTAAAAAAATAATTTTACGTATTCACGCTTTGCTCTAAGCTACCTTCAGCAGAAGAATTGTCTCTGTTTTCTAGTTGCTGTTTCCACATGTTAGCGTATACTCCTTCTTGGCCTATTAGATGCTCGTGCCTAAAAGAAAAATATTTCACTGTATAAACCGTTGCTGTTTTGACAGTAACCAGCAAAAAACAAAACGCTTTCAGAATACTTCATTTTACTTACTTTCCTCTCTCGACTATTTCTCCATCTTTTAAAACCAATATTTCATCGACGTGAATAATAGTAGACAGTCTATGTGCTACTATTACAGTCGTTCTGTTAGCACACATTCTATTTAAAGACTCCTTAAAAAGTAAATAATTATTAGATGAGTTTGACATAGTTTCGCCAACTCTTTACCTGAATATTACGTTCGGTTTGAGTATCTAAAGCACTAGTTGCCTCGTCCAAAAGTATTATAGCTGGAGCTTTCAACAAAGTCCTAGCGATAGCTACTCTTTGCTTTTCTCCACCACTCAGTCTAAGGCCTCTCTCACCAACCTGACAAATAATTATTCATGTAGACTGTTTAGAAATAAATGAGTATGGTGTCATGAAAAACATTATAAACTAATGAAAGCAAAAATGATTTAAACCATTCTTAAGATTAAGTTTGGTCGCCAGTGACGCAGTCACTATGAAGCCAACAAGTTCCTCAGAAAAGAGCTGATTAAGATACAGTGTCAATTGCGAAAACCCTAATTAATCAGATACAAATTGAATTAAAACAAAATCTACCAATATAAATCGACTTTAGTAATCGCTACTTCACAGCGATTCTTTTAACGGGTGTGACTTAGCTATCAATTAGTTTTGTCAATTATTAACCACATTTCCCTAGACGCCGATTTATTATTTGCAGTTAACAAGTTTTAACATTTTAAAACTCCAAATAAGTTGCTTGCGTCATTACAGATATACAGGGTGATTCATAATTGGCGTCATTCTTTTTAAGGGTTAATAGGGGTTCACTTATAGAGTACGAGAAAAATATTGAAAATTTTTTTTCGATAATTCCTAAAAGATAGGTATTAACATTTAAAAATCGAATTTCAACTTTGTTATTAAGCATTATTTTGAATGCGTTCCATGCTAAATTCAAAGCATATTGGAATACTTAAGCATTCAAAAAGAAAAAAATACGATCTTTGCTTCAAATTACAAAAATTTTTGATATCAAAAAAGTTATCTTCTACAATTTTTTGATGAAAAGTAATAGTAGCAACGATGTTTCGTTTCAGAACTTTCTATTTGGTAAATCAAAAACAAATGAAAGTAATACATTTTTGCTGAAACGTAAATGTAAAAAAAGAAAGTTATCATCTCGGTAATACGATCCTTAATTAAATGTGTTAAGAATGTTGAACCCTCTAAAAGGCTTAACAATTAAGTATCACATAAATACGAAAAGGACCTGTCTGCCTTCTTGCAAATGAGCGATATACATATCTGCTATATTTGTTGATTAGTAGTAGTAGTAGATATTGACTAATTTATTTTTATTGATATTTTTGAAATTTTTATTAACTGTTTTAGTAAAAAATAAATTATTTCTATGACAAACAGTTACTTCACAAAAGTTATGGGATTATATTTGCATGAATGATTAAAATATATAACTTCTCATATTTGAAGTTTTATGCAAGCATCACTACAAGGTGATTCAAAATTGGCGTCATTCTTCTGGAGGTGTTGTCTGGCGCGAAAAAATAGAATAAATTAATTGTTATTAAAAACTGAGAAATTTGCAAAAAACTATATCATAAATACGGCAGCAATATTTCTCAAGGTAATCTGCCTAATTAACATTGCGCAAATACCTGTTGCTTTGTAACTAAAACTTTAACTTTGTTTAGCTTTGTAACTTTGTAAAACTCCGGTAACCATGGAATTATACAGATTGACAATAAGATACACATAAACGGTAAATTCAACAAGTTTTGTTGACGAAATGTCAACCTGTTCTCATAACATCAAATTCTGCGGGGTTTGGTGTTTACAAAATTTGTAATTTAATAATCCATACAACACCAAACATTTGAATGGTTAACTCCAAAGAAGCTAGTGCCTGTGTAATCTCCTTTTCAGTTAATTAACTCCTGCTCCATTTGTACATGTGTGTGCTCCTTGTACTGTGTGTATCGTACAAACGT